CAGTCTTAGATTAAGGGATTATTGGCATAATCAATGATTAAATATGACAACATTATTATCAATTCATTGACTTCTTGGCATATTTATTATTCTAATTATTTAGTATATGGCACATGTAATTATCTTACATATGTTATGTATGTTTGTCAGATGCTGCAATTGTTGTATGTCGCAAAAAATGATGCATAATTAGTAAATGAAAATTCAATAACAGAGCATTCACATGTCCTTGATGTCAAGCCATCATGTGGCTAGATGAGAGAACAAAGGATAGGTCTAAAATCAATCCCAAATTCAGTTTATGTTATCAAGCTGGGGAGGTCCTTTTGCCTTTATTGCCACACGCTCTTAACTTCTTAGATGCACAATTGAGGAATGCAAGTTTTATGGAAAATAGTAGAATGTATAATTCAATGTTATGTTTCACTTCAATGGGTGGAAAAGTAGATCATTCAGTTTTAGATGGAAGAGGTCCATATGCATTTCGGATTAGCGGAGAAAATTATCATAGAATAGGGTCACTGTTACCAACTCCTAGTAAAAAACCTAAGTTTGCCCAACTATATATATATGATATAGAGAATGAATTGCAAAATCATCTTGATGTGATGGGCCAAACCAACACAAATATTTTGGGCATTAATTTGTCAATATTGGAAGGTTTACAAGAAATGTTAAATGCAGTTAATCCCTATGAAAATATTCTGAAGTATTAGAGATTTGTTGCGAGATCATAATGTATTGAATCTACATGTGCTTATTTTTAACTCTAGAACTGAAACACATCGTGACATCATTGTTCAGAAAAAATGATGGTATATTAAGAAGAATCAATGAAGTACATCCATCATATGTACCATTACAGTACCTATTATTGTTTCCATATGGTACAGATGGATGCAAGTATGCCAGTTCTTTTAATACATCCTCAAACAGATGTCGAAACAATGTGTCAATTAGAGAATTTTATACATTTAGACTCCAGCATAGAGAATTTGAAGGAAACACTTTTAAGAGGATGACGTTTGTTTCAACAATTTGTAGTAGACTGTTATATTGCTATTGAGCAAACTAGATTGAATTACATCAAGACCCATCAAACTGAGTTGCACACAAATCTATATTAAGAAATATAAGGTGCTGTAGTTGTTGGAGATGTAGATGCATCAACAGTAGGGAGAAGATTTGTGTTGCCTTCATTATTGTTATTTCAGGTAGACAATCCAAGAGGGAGTATGAATTGGGTTATTAAATAATTTTCCAAATTAAAATAGATAAACAAATATATGGAACAATATATACGAAGGTAATAAAAAATAAAATGCGCAAAGGGAAGAGAAATCAAACACGGCGATTTCTAGTGGTTCAGCACGCCGAGCCTACGTCCACTCCCCAAATATCCTTCTCGGAAATTTCTCTACTATTATTCAAATAGTAATACACTATTAGCTTCACAGGTGCTAGTGAACCTTTACAACAAGTGACCAATCCCGATCGCTCCGACTAGTTTAGAATCCGGTGCCTAGTCACACTTAATCCAAGTGATTTTATCCCAAGAAACCACTCACAAAACTCTCTCTTTTTAGAAGTATAAAATGAATAAGGGATAGAAAACCCTTATATAACTTTGCTCAAACTCTCAACAAATTTTATCACAGAAAATACAACTAAATGAAGCACAATATAATATTTGAGAATATTTTAATATCACATATTTTTCTCTTATTTTCACTTCTCCACTTATTATTTTTCTTCAACCAAAATACTACTACATATACCCAAAAATATATTCGTTGAGACAGAACTCACGCTCTTCTTATTGGCTAGGCAACTTGTGCAAAAATACAAACTAAACAACCGTTTCTTTTTCAACATTTGTGTTTGAAAATATAACTCAGATTGTTTTCTATAAATAGTGATAGTAAATTTTCAAACTCCTTAAGACAAAAACAAATGGTGCATAGTGATTGTATAGTAACATTTCTATTAAAATATTTAATCATATAGTAACTTCTCTATAAAAATATTTGCATGCATAGTAAAATATCTTTAAATAATATTTATATCAGATATGAAAATATGTATCCATTTTAAAATCTTTGTAATTATTATAGAGATTTTAGATACACTTTAATAAAAATAACCAACCATCCCATGTGAGCATATCAAATTTTTGTCAAAAAAAAAAAAAAAAAAAAAAAAAAAAAATCAAATTTTTGTCAAAAAAAAAAAAAAAAAAAAAAAAAAAACAACAACAACAACAACAACAACAACTCATCAATATCACATTTGTCAAAAGAATACAATTAATTAATATCAAAATTTTCAAAAGATAAATAGTGACCAACTGTATTTTTCAAAACGTGAATAGTAAATGTTATAAAATATTTTTGTAAAATCTGCGCAGTAATTTTGATTTAAATAATATTTATAACAAATACATCATACAACATATATTTTAAATAGATAATATTTTGTGTCAAAGAATGTAAAATATGTATATTAAAAAATCATAATTTATCTAATAATATTTTAGACATCATCAAAATTAAATCACATAATTAACAGTTATTCTCTGGGGGCCACGTAGTATGATCCAACGTTATCAAGACGCTATGGCAATTTGCATAACTATTTGAGCTCTTGATTTGTTTATCGCGTTCACATGCAATCTTATATGGCCAGAAATAAAGGATGATCTTCCAAGACTACTGAATCAACATGCAGAAGATAGACCTGATATCGTTACTAGATTTTTTCAGATTAAGTTTAAACAACTACTAATCAACTTGAAAAAAAAATAAAATCTTTGGAGAAGTACTTTTAGGTATTATTATTCTAACACCTATGCATTTATGATATAACAAATACTCTTAAATGTCTAATGTATCAATAATTATTTTTATGAACAATTATTTACATCATCGAATTTCAAAAACAGGGATTGTGGCATTCTTACATTACAATCACATTAGCATTGGAGAATAAACCAATCACATCGGAACAAATGGATGAATTTATATGTACTGAATTGTCAAACAGAAATGCTAACCAATTGGCATATGAGATTGTTGTAAGATGCATGATACATGAGCCTTATGGTGCTGCTAATCCCAATGCTCCATGCATGATAGATGGAAAGTGTACAAAACATTATCCAAAGAAATTTTGTAATGAAACAACAATTGATAATAATGAATTTGTATCATACAAGCGCAGATGTGATGAGGGCAACACAATAAACATAAATGGATTTATAGTTGATAACAAATGGGGCATTCCATATAATTGTGATCTTTTGATACGGTATGATTGCAACGTTAATATTGAACGATGCGCACACCAGAAGTTGATGAAATATTTGTACAAATATGTTAACAAATGGCCTGATTGTGCAACAACTGTGATTGAGGATAATGTTATTCATCCAAAAAATAATGGGCAACAACATTACGAATAAGTTGATGAGATCAAACAGTATTTGGATGTGCTATACGTGTCTCCGATTGAAGCGTTTTGAAGGATATTTGGGTTTGAACTTCAGAAATAGACTCCTTCTATTGAGCGTTTACAATATCATCTTCCAGGTCAACAATTTGTTATATTTAATGACAATGATCATCTACACAAAGTTATTGACCAACAACGTGTTCATGACACAATGTTGAACAAATGGTTTGAAGCAAACAAATCCTATCAATCTGCAAAGGAGTTGACTTATGTTGAATTTCCAATAAAATGGGTATGAAAAAGAGATAAAAAAGAACGGGATGTCCAAAAATCTCATAAATGTATTGGTAAATTGCCATACGCACATCCAACATCAGGTGAGAGATATTATTTGAGAATGTTATTAAATAAAGTTCGTGGTGTAGAAAGTTTCAAGCATATCAGAACTATAAATAGGGTCGAGTATCCAACATTTAAATTTGTATATATTGCACTTGGTCTACTCGATTATGATAATGAATGGCATGAGGCATTGGCTGAAGCATCAAATTGGGCATCAGCAACAAAACTTCGACATATGCATTGCACAATGCTCATATTTTTTTATATAACCAATCCAGTCGAATTATGGGAACGTCACTAGAAAAGCTTCACCAATGATATACAATATAGAATCAAAAGAGATATAAGAGATAGTGACCTACATCTTGACGATGAAGACTTAAAAAATTTAGGACTTCTCGAAATTGAGTATATATTAAATAGAAATGAAAGATCTCTCCAGGATTTCCCACTCATGCCATTGCCATCTTTGCAACATGCTCAATTTATGACAAATAGGCTCATCAAATAAGAGATAGAGTACGATAGTGTTTCAGAAAAATAATTGTTCAATGAATTACATTCTGGTTTAAATAGTGATCATTTGGAAGTATATGACATCATAATGAATGCATACAATTGCAAACAAGGGGGTTTATTTTTCCTTTTATAAAAGTGGGGGAATAGGAAAAACATATATGTGAAAAACATTGATAGCAAAGTTTAGGTAAAAAAAAAAAATTGCCCTTTCAATCACATCATCTACAATTGCAGCTTTGCTGTTACCAAGAGGCAGAATTGCATATTTACGCTTTAAAATTCCAATTAATTTGGACAAATTCTCAAGTTGTAGTATTAATCAACATATTGAATTGGAAAAATTAATTCGAGAGGCATCATTGATCATTTGGGATGAAGCTCCAATGTACCATTGTTATGGATTTGAGGCAATTGATCATACTTTCATAGATATAATAAAAGGTACAAAATTTTGTTCAAGTGATTGTGTATTTGGTAGAAAACTATTCATACGTAGTGGTAACTTCAGACAAATTTTACCTGTAGTATCAAAAGGTAGATGGGAAGCCACAATTGCAGCGTCGTTGAAGGAATTGACTATTTTGAATCATTGTCGTGTGTTACATTTGAGGACCAATATACATATTTTGGCCCTTGATACTTCTATTCAAATGTGTCAATAACTAAGGGATTTTTCTAACTAGATATTGATGATTGGTGATGGAAAAATACCTGAAATTTCTTCCATCGAAGGTGGAGAGATTAATTGGATTGAAATTCCAGAACAGTTCTTGGTTAGAAATGAATCACATGCTTTACATGATTTGATCCATGCAATCTATCCAGAATTAAGTACTAAATACAATGACAGTTCTTACTTGAAAGAACATGGCATCTTAGCACCAAAAAATGCTGATGTTGATGAATTAAATGTCATAATGCTATCAATGTTGCTTGCAGAATCTCAAAAATACCTAACTGCAGATATGATATGTCTAGTTGAGGGTGAGAACATTGACGAAGGCATGCATTCACCAGAGTTGTTGCACTCATTAAATTTTTCAGGAATTCCAAGTCATTGCCTTGAACTCAAAAAGGGAGCGCCTATAATGTTATTGAAAAATTGCAATCAATCTCAAGGTCTATGTAATGGAACCCGTCTTATTGTTGAGAAGATGAGAGATAAAGTGATTGAGGCACAAGTGATTACAAGTTTGAATATTGGGGAAGGAGTCTTCATTTCACGTATCATTTTATCACCTTCTACCACACATTCGTCTGTCCCGATTAAAAGAAGACAATTTCTCATAAAACAAGCATTTGCAATGACCATAAACAAAAGTCAGGGTCAGACTTTAAAAAACATTAGCGTATTATATGATGCCTTATCACGTGTTACTACACCATCAGGCTTGAAGATATTGATTGTTAATAAGGTCGACCAATCGTCAAATTACACGAAAAAATGTTATGCATTGTGATATCCTTGATGGCATTTGAAGATTGATATAAAAAGTCTTTAAAAATTTCAAGACTATGTTTTTTATATTCACTTTGTTTAATTATATAATACTTACCACTCTAAATGCTAAATCTTATCCAAAATATTGCATTTATTATATGAAGAATTTTTAATAGAAAAATTAATTAAAATACTTACCCTTACAAAATATGTTTGTATAATATTTGTTGTATAATAATTGATTACTTATTTTTTCTATTTTATCATAATGTAAACTTAACATTTTTCCATTTTTCTATTAAAAATTCTTCGTATTTTCATTTTCAAATTTCTTGAGATCTATAGATATGTTGTATAAAAATTATAAATCCATATTTTTCTTGTATGCATTTACATTGTTAGTAGGTGATAGAATTATCAGATATTCCTATTTTGCTGATTTACACCCATATGCAAGTAATTGGAACTTTAAAGCTCAGTTAGTCAGGTTGTTATCTGTGACTAATCGTCCTGGAGGAAATATGACATTTAGAATGATTTTTGTTGATGGACATGTAATTACAACTCTTATCATGAGATAATTATTAAATATTTTATTTTATATTATGTTAAAAATGTGTACTTATTATCTTTTTTCAAAGGGTGATGCAATGGGGAGAACTGTATGTCTGAGGAATATGATTACTTTAAAGAACATTTAATTAAAGGAAAAATATATTGTTTTAGAGGAGTTCATATTGCATTGGCTGATGATAAATTCAATCTGGTACCATATCATCATAAGATGTCTTTTACTAATGATACCACAATTGTGCACATACTTGATCATGATGAATATACCATTTCAGTGCCATTTCATTAAGAAATCATTACATTGGCCAATTTCTTCATCAAGATGTTCAATTAATAGGTACGTTACTTTTACCAAATAATACTTATCTAGATTACATACTTATATAGCTTATTACTAATAGAAAAAAAAATTAAACTATCAAAATTATGGGGAAGTATTTTGAAAATGACGCCACGTGGCCAAGGTGCCGCCAAGATGTCGATTGAGGTGCCACGTGCGAGTCATGTTTGCCGAGGTGATTGCCGCGTTGCCGAGGTTCAGTGCAGTAATGCCGAAATTCGAGATATCTAGATAAGGGACAAGAGTCGTAGATAAGAGGAGGCTCTTAGTTTGGATATGGATAAGGCTCTTGAGGAGTTTATCCCTATCTAGTTAAGAGTCCGAGATAAGCATTGTGCTTGAGTCCTATGAAGTGAGATTTCTAGGAGACTAGGGCATTACTGGCTATAAAAGTAAGGCACCCCTGTGGGTCTAAATTATGCTTTTGATTGTGAATTGTGTATTTATGTTGATATCTTTGAGAGGTAAGTTGACTGACTTGATCATCAGTGTAGACACCCCATTTTTGATCGTCTTTACGACTTGGACATCACCACTTACGCCCCCAATGATGAATTTTATGTTTGTCAAGTGCTCGAAGTCCTTAGCAAAATGCCACAGCTTTGGGCTTTCAAAACCCTATACACCTCTTGCCCTATTTTGGACCAAAACCCTAGTTTTTCAAGCCTAAAAACCCTGGGACCTGCCGGCCCCCTTTTGTGGGCTGCCGGCCACTTTTGTTGGCTGTCAACCAAAATTAGTGGCTTGTCGGCTATAAGTGTGTTTTGGCAGATATTTAGGCCAGCTGTGCCAACTATTTCCACTGATGCTTGCATCTGCCTACACGTTTATGTATGGATGTTTCTAAGGGAGTTGCATGTTTTTTTTTTTTATTTAGGAGACCTCCCCTTCTATTTTTGAAGGTTGGAAAATTTGGAGCAAAATATTTTCTCTCTCTCTCTCCATAATTCTCTCTCTCTCTCTTGCAAATTCTTGAGCCTTTGTCTATACACTCTAAACCAAACCTTGTGGTCTTTGAGCTGAGGTACTTTTGAGCCTAATTTGAGCTCTTGAGGGTGTGTAAGTGTTGATTTGTCACTCATAAAGGGTTCTCCTTTTCAAAAGATATAAGTCTTGGCTTGTTGCTTTGCTTTATTTACCATTTTGCCTATTGTTTTAGACTATTTTTGGGCTGTCTAAACTCTGAAATTTTGGGCTAAAATTTGTGGTTTAACGCCAATAAGGGTGAAGGGGTGGCTCACCATTCCTTCCACCTAGCTTTCTAGGCCTTTACTGTTGTGTTTCCTACCTTGTTGTCAATCTTTTTTAAGCTTTTAAATACTGAATCTTAGAGCTTTTTTAGTGGCTAAAATCATGTTGTGAAATCCAAAAATAGGGGGCAGCCTCCCCTCCTTATGCTTTGTTTACTAGCTTACACAGCTCTATGTTTTAGCTTATTATTCTACCTATTTTTGTCTTAATTCCAGCATGTTTTAGGACTGATTTAGCACTGTTTTCGGACTATTTTTGGTTGTTCATTGCATTTAAGCTTTGTATAGCATGCTTGTAGTGAAATTTTCCTCATAGGCTTGGTGGTCTAGACCTTAGCCACCAACCTATTTGAGTTGATAGTGTTTATTTTAAGCTTTCCATACTTGTGATCACCTCTAATCACCTCTGCAACCTCCCTGCTTTCTTGGCTTTTTATTTGCTTTGAAAGTTGTTTCAAACTAGTTGCTTGTTAAAGCATGAGATTGAGGTCTTGTGCTTAATGGTTTAATCCCTTTGGGGGTTCATTACCAATGACATGACACTTCTCTCACACCTAAAATAACACTTGGTTTGGTACTCCTTTCCATTAGAGGACTCAAAGCTCACTTTTAGACTTAATTGACTAAGGAATGGTTGGTAAGTAAAATGGAGTAATAAAATGAGGACTAAAAGTGATGCAAGATAATAACTTGGTTAGGGTTTAATCGGATGTTAATTGAACCCTTGAGTCTTGAATCGTTTCATACTTGTTCGTGATGAAAACGGTTTAAGAGTCATTGTCAACCACTTCCCTTGATCAACTTATGATAGGAAGGAGGTTTGAGAGTCTTTTCTTGTTGCATTTATTAAAATTGTACCCTTTGGTTCATAGGCCATCAGGCAATGAAATCGCATCGATTTGTGGTTTGTGAATCAAATTTACCCCTCCTTTGAGCTGTTTGATGATAAGGAGAGGCACGGGGGATAAACATACCTTGAGAATACCCTGTTCGTGCTCTGTATGCTTTCTATTGTAGCAGGAGGAACCAGGCTTTAGTGGCCGGCATGCCACTTTTTTCTGGACGGCAGGCCACCACTTCTGGCTTGCTGGCCACCTTTGCAAAACCAAGTAGTGGCTTTTTGAAACAAAATAGAGCTGATTTTTCAGGTGAAAAAATAGTGCAAGTGTTCTAACTGTGCAACTGAGGCTTTCTGGCAGCAAAATAGCAGGCTTTTCAGGTGGAAATTCATGCATGCATGAGCACTCCTCGTTTTCCGGGGCTATTTAGTTTAATTACTTAGCTTATTCATTTCTTAAAATTTTGTAAAGTGTTGTAATTAATTAGTTGTAGCTAGTTAATTTTGTCTTGTAAATAATTAGTTAGTTAGACTAGTTATTTAATTTGTTGTTGTAATAATTAATTCGCTAGTTTAGTTAATTTATTTCATTTGGATTTGTAATAGTTAATTAATTAGCTTTAATTAGTTAGGTAGTTAGTTTATTCAGACCCTTCTGCGCGAGGGCGTACACTTGTAATAATGTGTATGTCTTCTAACCCCATGTATTTCTCCCTTTTTATTTACTTGTTTATGATGGTTAGTTTAGGGCATCATGTTTTGTTTAGCATCTCTCATGCCTTGCATCCATTGTCATGCATGCATTGAGCTTGGCGCATCATTCTAACTTTCATTGTAGTTAAACATTCTTTGAATACGTGCTTAGACCACATGCTATCAAATTGATTAATATGCCATGTTATGAAGCCAAGCTTATTAGTTGCATATTGCATGTGTTGCATTAGTCATATCGCATAATTAGGATCATGCATTTTTCTAACTCTTTCATCTTTTTGGCCTGGAGTACTAGGTGGGCTTTTATTTGTTTTAGCATATTGCATTGTATGTTAGTGTTGCCATGTTTAGCATGCTTGCCATGAGGCTAAGTGCTTAATTAATATATCTGCTTGAATGCCTATGGATGAAGGCCAATTGCTTGAATTGGAACAATTTGAGTAATGTTCATATGCGATCGCTTTTTCAAGTGGTACATATTTGAAACAATTTTCAAAACAAACATGAATCAAAGTGTTCCAATTTTTGCAAATTAGTCCATACTTGTGTGTGTGTGCATCACATAGTAATGTTAGCCTAATAAATCGGAACAAGAGCATATAATGTAAATAAGATTCACATCTTGATTAGTAGAGGCCAATCTTCGATCGGGCGAGTGGGGGTGCTCAATTCATGACCTTCCCCTCTCATACCTAAGTTCCCGAGCCGAGACAATCTTGGTGATAACGGATATGTGGCCTTTGGCATGAGTCATGGGTTTCCTAAATTTCCTAAAAATATTTAGGTGGCGACTCTGTATCTGGCAAAACAGTCATTTTTTGACATTTTGATTTAAAATTGATTTTCTAAAAGATTTGTCGGATTTAGACTCTTTGGTGTTTATCTATTTCATATTGCACTTGTGAGATCAGGTTCAGAACCGTAGGAGTCCGATACTATAGGGCTTATTCGTCTTCCGAAAGGAGCACGAAAAGTCGAGCTACAGTCAGAGTGCTCCCGGGTGGACGAATCACCACGGTATTCTTATCTTTTTATTGGCAAGTAGTTGACTCAATCTATTCTGCTGCGTGCTGTCATGACCCAAACCCACCCCTATAGGTTTAGTGTCGTAACCGGCCAGTAATCCTTGGATTACCAAGGGCCTCTTGACAGATTAACATATAGATAGGGGCTACAGAAGCAAATATACAAAATATACAAGGTCCAATGAGCTGTCTACTGTGTTGTAAGCAACACTTAGGATAAATATTTATTTCGGCAAGAAAATGGTGTCCAATGATCTTATAAAAATTTTACAGGTTTAT